AGTTATCATAGGAGGGGCTGGGGATTTAGCTCAGCGGCAAAAGCGCCTGCCTGGCAAGCGCAAGGTCGTGAGTTCGGTTCCCGGTACCGGAGAGAAAAAAAAAAAAAAAAAATTTAAACTTCACCATCTTTTGATTACCTTAACTGTTCGCCCTGCAGGGCTCAGGGATCCTGTCCCAACCATCCTGAGGGACCTCTCCCAGCCCTAGGGCAGCATCTCCCCAAGCACACGCACAGGGCTCCCAGGGAGGCCCCCACTTAGCACCCAACACGGCTGTGACTCATGACCCCAGTGGCTCATCTGCTTCACTGACCCCTCCAGACCCTCGCCCAGCTGCACCCTCACGTGAGACCTAAGTGTTTGCTGGCTAAATGATGGCGCTAGGAGGTGTATCACAGGACTTTACATAGGTTCCCAGGCTACTGGGCACACTGGTGGTCAAGAAACGATATAAGAAGAAAAGTCTTTACCCAGCAGGGAGTGGACTCTCCCTGTGAGTCCCCACAAACCCTGAAGGCATACAAAGACAATTATCCCCAATTTACAGAGGCCCTAAGAGGGAAGTCAATTTAAAGTCACGTTTCGAGAAAACAGCAGAATCAAGATTGTGATTTTGTGTGCCAGGGCCCAAGGATTCAGCAACTGTATCCCTCTATGAACCATTTCCTCATTTCTCCTGGGCAACACGGTGTCTTCCTCAGGGAAAAAGATTAAGGTTGAATATCAACCCCATTTTCTTACAGCCACAGAAGGTAGAGTAGAATAGCTCATAGAGCAGGGTGGCCACACAGCACTCAGCCACTAGGTGTCGCTATATAACACAGCGCTAAGTCCACCCCTCTCCAGGCAGCTCACCATTGTTGCAGTGCCGGACACAGTCCTGCACCACCGCCTGCCACTTGTCCTGCTCGGCTTCCGTCATCATGCAGAAGTAGTAGTGTCGTGCATAAGGATGCCAGAGGATCAGGGGGAACTGTGTGGGGCACTTGAAGATGGGGGTGCTACCCGATTTCGACGTGGTCCCTGTGGAGACAGTGCCTTGAGTAGTTATCAGCTGCGGTGTCCCTGGTCAGAGGACAGCAGGGAAAGCTGACCTGTCAAGGGGTGGCCAGGGTCACTGGGGACACGGAAGCCTTTTTTTTTTTTCCCCCTCTCTTTTTTGAGACAAGGTCTCACTTATAGCCCAGGCCGGCCCTGAACCATGATCCTCCTGCCTCAGCCTACCAAGTGCTGAGATTATAAAGTTTGCACCACCAAATTCAGCATGCAGCAGCCTTTCTGTCCTCCACAGCCCAGCTAAAAGAATCTCAGAATCTGGCAGCATCTGTGCTGACCCCTTCCCTTGAGCTGCAGGAGGTCACGCCTCCCTCGTGGGTAATCTAACCTCCTGTGTCGGGCACAAATGACCAGTGAGAGCCCTCAGGTTCAAAGGCCAAACACTCCCTGCTTGGGTTTCCCTTCAAAGATCTGCTGCAGAGGCCAGCGCGTGGTTTAAATGTCTAAGGAGGGAGGGAGGCATGCGGGGCAGGGAAACAAAACAAATAAAAAGGAATTTATTTCTACTTGATCCTCATGGATATTCGAGATCCAGCAAGATACCTGGTCCTGAGCTGCGCCCTGTCCCCACGGTTAACGATGGGACAGTAACAGCTCTCTGTGCCCTGGCCTGGGGCAGCCTGGGCTGGGTCTGGGGCACCCAGAACTTCTTGGGTCCTCCACACCCCAAGATTTCTCTCCTCAGCCTGTATTTTGCAGATGTGTAGGAAGATGAGGATTGGAGGGGGGAGATGATCGGCCTGCACAGCGCCGCAGAGACAGAGCCGGAGTCAGGACGGGGGTGGGGACAGTCAGGACTGTCCCCCCCCAGGCTGATTTGACCCCTGGGCTGCCTTGGTAGGGTGTGGAAAAACAGGGCACCTGCAGTACTAAACCCTAGCACACCTGGCATGGACATGCAGTTTGCCAGTCATCTCGGCAAGGTCACTGACTGAATTTCTTCTCTGGAGCAGCTCTCAAGAACTCAGGGATGGGGCTGGGGATTTAGCTCAGCGGCACAGCGCTTGCCTGGCAAGCGTAAGGTGGTGAGTTCAATTCCCGGTACCAGAAAAAAAAAAAAAAGAACTCAGGGAGAGCAGGGTGTGGTGGTGCACACCTATAATCCTAGCACTTGGGAGGCTGAGGCAGGAGGCTTGCTGAATGTTTCAGGCCAGCTTGGGCTACATAGTGAGTTCAAGCCCTGCCTGAACTACAGAGCAAGACCCTGTCTCAAAAAAAAAAAAAAACACCAAAAAACAAAACAAAAAACCCCCTCAGGAAAGTAAGAAAGGGAGTTAGCGAGACTCCCACTCCACAGCACTGGAGCATAAGGCTCAGGCACCAGCCAGACCCAGATGAGGGCTCACACGGGTCCAGGCCCAACCCAGTGTGGCCTTGGGCAAAGCACGCCTCTCAGGTCCAAGACACCTCTCCCCTTTGGGGGCTCAGGCTGTGCTAGTGTGGGACCTTTAGCAATGAGCTCAGGGCCCGCCCCCACCCCTGGCCACCTCCTGAGGCCTGTGCGGGTTGCCGGGCTGGGGCCAGGTGGCCCTTTACCTGGTAAGGAGTTGCCAACCAGCTCCAGGTACTGGTCCAGGGAGGTGAGGACTTTGTAGCCTGCACTGTTGATGACGGTGCGGGGCGGGACCTGCCGCTCGTAGGCCTGAGGAGGGCAGGAGAGAAGGTCCTGGAAGTCACAGATGTGCCGAGCCCGAATCCCAGCTCCGACTCTGGCTCCAGGGCCCGAGGCGGGGCGCAGGAGGGGAAGGAAGAGGAAAAGGAGGGAGAGGACAGGAAGAGTGTCACAGCGAGCAGAGGAACACCGGTATAGCGACCTCAACGTGGTCCCCAGCATAATGCCTGGCCCAGGACGGAGCTCTGTGAGCTCTGCTAAGGCGTTCGTCACTGTCACTGCCGCCACACTGCCTCCCGTCCCACAGCCGCACTAGCTGAGTGCATCCTGGGCACCGTACGGGGGCAAAACAGGCTTCATTGCACACTGTGATCCAAGGGTGGGTCAGCCACACGTTCCCACAACTGGGAAGGCTGCTACCTGCCCTCAGAACTAGGGTCCTTGACTATTACTTGGAACTTCTCCCCCACATCCCGAGGTTCTAAGCAGCCCACAGTCTCCTCTGTTAGAGAATTAGGTCAGGAAATACCGCTCCTACAGGAGCACAGGGAAAAGTATTTCTGATGTAATGACTCCTACAGCAGGGGTGCCATGCTGCCGCTGACCACTAGGTGTCAGTATTGGACAGCGAAGGGCAGGGTAGTGTGGTCTCTCCCTCCCCCATAGCTCTAGAACTTAACCCAGGACCTTCACACTGAGCTACATCTCCAGTCTTTATTTTGAGACAAGGCCTTGCTAAATTGCTCAGGCTGGGCTTGAATTTGCAATCCGGCTGCCTCAGCCCCCTGGAGCGCAGAAATTAGAGGCGTGTGCCACCATGCCCACTAGAAATCCAAATTCATTTTTTGGTGGTGGAGAGGATTGACTCAGGGTCTTGCTATGTAGTTCAAGCTGGCCTTGAACTCACTAGGCAGCCCAGGCTGGACTGGAATTTGCAGCAATCCTTCTGCCTCAGCCTCCTGAGTGCTGGCATTAAAGGCATATACTACCACACCTGGTTAGAAATATAAATTCTTGACCCTACCTCAGACCTGAGTCAAACTCTGGGGTCGGCCCAGCGAACTCTTTTTTCCCAAGCCCTCCAGCGAACTCGGAGGCATGCTATCATATGAAAACTGCTACCCCGGGGGCCTGAGTTTGACCTGACTCCTTGTGAAGTCACCTGTCCAGAACAAGGAAAACAGGCCTATGCCTTGGGCTGCTCAGGAGAAATGTCCGGGAGATGAAATCGGGTCTGTGGGCTTTCGAAAGAGCCCCAAGGGAAGACAAGGCACGGCCCACCCACAGCGGGTAGGGAGAGCAAGCCTGGGGCAGGGACTGGCCAGCAGACAGCTCCTCCTGCCTGCAGAACGAGGCCAGAGCAGGGCGGCTGCCCAGGGTGCAGGAGGGTGTGGGAGCAGAGGTAACCGGGCCAGGGGGAGCCAGAGCTCAGCAGGTTGGGGCGCCCAGGGCCGGGTGGGGTCCTCACCACTTTGTTCTCGTACAGCACCAGCCCGTAGTTGTGTGGCACCAGGCTGAAGCGGTTCCTCCACTTCTTACTGTCCTCCTGGTACTGGAAGAGGTTCCCCGAGAAGATGATGCGTTCGTCCAGAGGCACCTGAGGGCAGAAGCAGCGGGGTCCCTCAGGCCACAGCGGCTCCTTCCGGGTCTCACCCAGGCCTGGCCCCAGCCTCCAATCCAGCCGGGCCAAGGGCCTCCCATGCTGTCCTGGACCAGGGCAGGCACAGCCACCCACCTCTGCTACCCCGAAGCAAGGCAGTCACCGTCGCCAGACGGGACACGCCCACAGGCCAGCTCTGGGCCTCGGTTTCACGTCAGACTAATGAGAACTTGAATGAGGTGCTTCACCAGGGCTTCTCCAGCCCTCACTGCTGAACTCACAGCCCCGCTAAATCTGGGTGGCGGAGGAGGGAGCCTCCGCCGGGGTGTCTGAGGTCGACCTGCGTCCTGGCAGCAAGTGACCTGAGGAGCTTAACCGCCCCAAAGCCCTGCCTCAGTCTGGCTCACGGGGTGACCTTGCAGGCTGCCTCAGCACTTCTTGGAGCCTCGGTTTCTTCATCTGTAAAATGGGGGTGGGAGCAGCTGGCACTTGGCAGGCAGCACCGTACCCGAAAACTGCTGTGACCAGTGTCGGGATGAGCTCGGGTCCATGCAAATGTTGCCCAGTTCTGGACTGATTTGGGGCTGACTTTAAGGAGAGCTACAGAAGCCGGGATGGGCCAAGGACACACACACTACTATGGGCAGGCTATTGTTCTGCCCCTTGCCAAGCTGTTCTATGATAAATTCAATGCCATTCGCAAAATAAAACTTTTATTTTTCAGGTACAGGGATTAAACCCAGGGCCTTTGCCCTGAGCTACATCCCGGCCCTTTACGTCTTAAATTTGAGATAGAGTTTTGCTAAATTGCCAAATTTCCCAGGCTGGCCTTAAACTTGCCATCCTCTCGCCTCAGGATCCCAGAATACTGGATGTGAAGGCTTTTGTCTAATGTCCCCCAAAGCCTCTGCAGTCATAGGCGGGGCTTTTCAGAGGTGCAAGGATACAGAGTGTGTGCTGTTAGGGTTAAGGGTGTGTGATTACTAAATCAGCCCACTGATTGGTTTGGCATAGCTCTGGGTAGGAGTAAGGGTGCTCCATTCTCAGTGAGTGCTACTTGCCCAAAGACTGTGTAGCCTGGATACAATACAAAGGGACAGAAGGAATCTGACCCTTAGCCCTTGCTGCTGCTGCTGCTAGGTGTGGTCACTTGTTGCGTGTATCTTTCCGCCTTCTCCCTTCTGCCTGCCATGAACTGTTTCTCCTCTGCGATGCCACCCAGCCAACTACGGACTGACACCTCTATACACCAAGAGCCAAATAAACCTTTCCTCCTTTAACTTCGGGTGTTGGGTATTTTGTCACAGCAATGAGAAAAATGACCAAGACACTGGGATTACAAACATGTACCTCACCTCACCACACAGGAAGAAACTGGAACGGGGAGAGGCAGTGTTGAGACAGGGTCTCGACATGTAATTCAGGCTGACCTTGAACTTACTATGTTGTCCAGACTGGCCTTGAACTTGAGGCAGTCCTCCTGCCTCAGCCTCTTGCGTGCTGGGATTACAGGTATGTGCCGCCACGCCTGGCAAAGGAAACTTTTGTGGTGCTCAATAAAGGGAAAAATTATTATTTTAATTGTGCCCACACCTTCCTGGCTTCCTTGCTCCCTCCTGGGTCTGTGGGCAGGCAGCGGGCGTCCCAAGTCCCAACCCTGCCTGCCTCTCTGGCACCTCTGTGGCCTTCAGACTCCCTCTCCCCAGCTCCCCGCTGTTGCTTCTCAGGGAAACCGGAAACACTCCTGGAATAATGAGCTCAAACAATAGGCCCAAGCTTCCTACCGGGATGAAAATATTTACAGGATCACAAAGGATGCCCCCCACAGTGGGCTTTGCCCAAGTTACAAAGCCTTGGCTCTATGTTCTATATTTATAGCACCAACACCCAGCCCTCCGATACCTGTTTTTTTTTTTTTTTTTTAAGAAAGAAAGAACAACCAGCCAGATGTGGTGGTACACGCCTGTAATCCCAGCACTCGGGAGGCCGAGGCAGGCTGCCATGAGTTCAAGGTCAGCCTGGACTACAAAGCAACCCTGTCTCAAGAAAACAGAACAATTTTATTTAATCTTTCAAAGAACCAACTCTTCAATTCGTTGATTCTTTGTATCGTTTTCTTAGTCTCAGTTACATTAATTTCTGCTCTGATCTTTATCATTTCCTCCCTCCTAGGTGCGTTGGGCATGACTTGTTCTTCTAGAAATTTGAGGTTCAACATTAGGGTGTGGCTGGGGATATAGCTTAGCGGCACAGCGCCTGCCTGGCAAGCGCAAGGTTGTAAGTTCGATTCCCAGTACAAAAAAAAAAATAAAAAGAAAAAAGAAATTAGATTGTTTATTTGCACTCACTCTGTTTTCCTCACACGGGTATTCACCACTATAAATTTCTCTCGTAGGATTGCTTTCACTGTGTCCCGCAGGTTCCACGTCTGTTGTATTTTGGCATCACTGCCTAATTGTAGAAATTGTCTAATTTCCTCTTTCATTTTGTCTGTGACCCATTGGTTGTTCAGGTGGGTGCTATTTAATTTCCATGTGCTTATAAAATTTTTGTGGTTTCTTTTGATTTGATTTCCATTGATTTCTAACTGTACTGCACTATGGTCTGATAATATGCATGGTAGTTCGGTTGCTTTGCATTTACTTACGCATGTTCTGAGCTAGTATGTGGACTGTTTCGGAGAACGTCCCGTGTGCAGCTGAGACGAATGTGCATTCCGGTGTTGGGGATGGAGCACTCTGCAGACATCTACTAAGTCCATTTGTTCAAAGGTTTGGTTCAGTTCTGCTACGTCTTTACTGATTTTTTTTTTGATCTATTGATCTATTTGTGATCTATTTGTGATCAACCACATCCCCCTGGCAGATGTGGTTGACCTGACCCCCTCCCTTGGAAGATACATCACATACAGGTACAGGGGCTGGGGATTTAGCTCAGCGGCACAGCGCCTGCCTGGCAAGCTCAAGGTTGCAAGTTTGATTCTTGGTACCGGAAAAAACAAACAAACAAACAAACAAAACATTAAATGGGTAGTTTTCGGGGGGCTGGGGATTTAGCTCAGTGGCACAGCACCTGCCTGGCAAGTGTGAGGTCGTGAGTTCGATTCCCAGTACCAGAAAATAAAATAAAATAAAAAAATAAAGAGTTGTAGTATCACATACAGGTACAAATTCCCTATGATGAATGAATCTAGTTGATCTATTTGTGACAATGGGATATTGAGACCCCCCATTACAACTGTGTTAGTGCTTATTTGATATTTCATG